TCAGAACATACATGGATGTTATTCTACATATGGTGAATAGATAACAAGAAAACTTGCAATTTTTCCTTTTCGCTTAAGGCCTTAGCTATTAGGCGATCCTTATACTCATAAACTAAACCAATAGGTTTCACTTTTCTTTTAAGAATCCATTTGTTACCCATGACTTCATTGCCAAGAGGTAATTCTCAAAGATGCCAAATCTTGTTCGATTCTATCGATATATTACCCAAGGCTTTTCAACCAAGAGGTAACTCTACAAGATTTTAAGTCTTTATTAGACTCCAATAATTCCATTTCGTTAATAATGGATTCTCCCACAATTCTGCATCTTTATGAAAGTTCGAACTCCTAGCAGGCTTGTAGGATCTTTCTTTCTTAGGGTGTAAATACCAAATTCATAACCAAAATCCTTTCGTGATTTATGGTTCATTTGTCTCTTCTGAGTTCATACTCAGATTCATCACCCCCACTAGTTATCCATTATTTCTAATAGTATGCAGGATACCACCCCCACTATTTGTTAATATAAATGGAATCTATTGGCATCAATGGTTTTCACAAACTAATGAGTATTTCGTTTCATAGGCTTATGTGTAATAACTTACACACTCATATGCTCTTCTAGTTATCATGTCACTGATTCTCTAACGCTACCACATGCATGCCACATATCGAATAATCAGTGCAATCATAGTGCAACTAGGCATTTCAAACTATTTCGAATAACTAGTTAGGCAATCAGAGCACTCTAAAGAGCAATAAATCATTTATTGTCTTTTCCATCAAGTTTACCCATATCAACATAAATCAGATTTATTGATTCTGATTCTCTAATCACATATTTATGGGTCCTTTAGCTTCGATATACAAAATTCATATTTTTCTCAAGCATCCAATAATAATATGGGAATAAGATATTCTAATTCTTCACACAGACACACTTGAAAGAATTTATCTTATCTACTTAACCATTCCTTACGTCTCGGAAAGTCAATGACTTTCTAGAGGTAGGGTTCTTTTCCACTTTCCCAGAACCATCAACTATAGTGGTGAGGGTCTTGCCCAACAACACTTTCTCCTTCAATACGCCTTAATGCATGATTGAGCTTAGCTACTTTATGAGATGCATGCCTTAGGTGTCAATATCCAACCACCATTCTTCAGAATTGCCATTAAGGCCTATCACCCCATTAGTGATTATTACCACCAAATCCTCTTATGTAGTCAAGTTAACACTAGGTTAAACTTGTTCTTACACTTTCGTGTCTTATGACCTAGTTTCTCACAAATAACAGAGGAACATAGCGTCATTCTTAGAGGATTGGGTGGCAATCTTATGGTTACCACAAAGGGTACCATTCTATTTGGTATGGATCTGGTTCGGCTTGCTGCTCTCATTCTTGAAACTTTGATGTTTCAAAGCAGCCTAAGTGGTTCGTGTAGTACTGATAATAGTACTTCTTACAATATCGTTATTATGGGCAATAAACCCATTCTATTCCCATATATTCTTCAATGCACACATTTAGACAAAATCATTCTTTCCATAGCATGTAATCAATTTATGTTCTAATCATCGAGATACGTAATATATCTTAATGTCAACTTATCATGCATCAATTCAAGCTTTCATTCTAGCATTCATAACCTTTCTCAATTTCATTCATAAAACCCTATGAAATTTGTCATTCATTAATGACTCATGAGGAAGGTGTCAGTTCTTACCTCTTTTCAAGAAGTCATTTCCTTCTAACATTTGTAGTTAATAGCTAGCCATACATAGCTTCTTTGTTGCTCGTTTTGCTTCTCTCCACAACCTTTAAGACTAGCACTCAACATCGTGCATTTTCCTTGTTCTATGGTCGTGGATTATGGCTTCTAGGATAACTTTTGCTTCTCATTGAGCCTTCTATCGCTTGGCTTGGGCCCTATTAGTTACACGCAGCAACTTGCTGGAACGGAACACGTCGAGGTTGCACCCTCCATAGTTTGCTCCGTAACTCAATAATTGTGAAACAAAAATTGACAAAGAACTGTCATAGTAACTTGCGGCACCCAAAGCAATTAAAGAATTGTCAAAGTAAAAAGCAAAAGGCAACTGAAGCTCATACGTGTTCCTTCAAAAAAAAAAAGGTTCATCTAGGTTACCGTGGCTGCAACTGAAGCTGAAAAATCCCCTTTTGCTTCTTTATCCTGTCCCAGGTCAACTTTGTCCTTCTTTCCCAGGAAATAAATTCCCTTCCATAACTTGCTAGTCCGTTTTATTCAAGAGTGCCCACTGCCCCCACGAGACCAACTTGGGGTTTGACGTCTCTAGTTTGGGCCGGAACTGAAAGCCCAATTGTGAAAGGACTTGACGGGCTAGGGGTTGGAATTCTTGCTTTCAGTGCTATAGGTGGTGCAACCTGGAGGTAGATTCCTCCTTCATTGATTTACGCCGCCGGAGGTGGCTACTTGACTTTGACTCCGGACATAATTTCAGCACGCTGGTTATGGAAGAGATATGACTGCGGCAATCTTGAAAAAGAAACGCGCAGCGAAGGAAATCGATCGAGCCAGAATTGGTATCCTCCTTTGGTACACATGACAAAAACCAAACGTCTTAAAATTGTTACAAACCGAACAGAAAAATTAGGGTTACCGATCTGGCTGAGTCGCGGACTAGGTCGCTCTCTTTAAGACTTTCGCGGCTCTGCCTCGTTATTCGCACAACAGTCTATCAGCCGGTCGCCTCCAGGATAAAACAGTCACTCTCTTGATTTGCTCAGCGGTTTTGTGCGGAAAACCGGGAGCTCTTTGAATCTCACTCTCTCTCGTGTTTCTGCTCTCTAGGGGTGTGTTTAGAGGGCCTGGGGCGTCTCCTATTTATAGGAGCAGAAAACTCAGAATATTCCCTCTTTCTTTGGGAATAAGTCATATTTTAATTAGGGAGATAATTACTCCCATAACTAAAATATAATCTATTAAGATAATTATTCCTAATTATCTCCATAATATTCCTTTTATTAATTATCCATCTTATTTATGTATTATGGGAAAATACTGGATAATTAATTAGGAATTTCATTTATAGCTTTTCAAAGCTATTCATCCCAACATCTACGGACTATAAGAATTTCTGGAACTATTCATCAGATGCCCTAAACCTTGATGGATTAGAAATGGCTTTGATTTTGGTTGCAAATCACCCAGGCTCTGATACCAATTTGTTGCAGGCGTGGATTTTGGCACACGATATTATCATAACAAGATGTGATTTAGAACATAAATAGGGAGAGTATTGGACGAAGATTTGGGGAAGAAGAGCAAGAAGTAGGTCGATGACCGATTTAGGGAGATAAGGGAGGAAATTAAGCTTGGGAAGATACGTTGAATTATTCTGATTATTTCTCAATTGTTTCGTAAATGAATGACGAAATTACATTATTTAGACTTTAGCCTAACCCTAATCGACCTAACCCAACAAAATACTGAACTACCCTCAAATACTAAGCATACCCTCATACGACAATTTTTTTCTCGAAATATATTGAAAATGAATGTAATTTTATTTTTTTCTGCGATCTCGTTTTATCTTTGCAAAAATAATTGATACTTGAAAAAAAAAAGATAAAAATCATTTAAAATAAATTAATCTCACCCTTTTTTGGACCAACTTGAAATCAAGAGACTAATATTATGGGGTGAGAACTTAGGGGTGATAGTCGGTTCGGACCAAAACTGACTGGTTAGTTAGCCACCACCGATATATGGCCAAACTCCCAATCGACATTGTCGGTTAACCAACACCGAAATCGCAAGCATCACTGCGATAAGTCGGCAAACCGTGAACCCACGAAAAATGAATAGAAGTGTGGGGATTGTGGAACCCACAAAATACTGAACTACCCTCAAATACTAAGCATACCCTCATACGACAAATTTTTTTTTTCTCGAAATATATTGAAAATGAATGTACTTTTTTTTTCTGCGATCTCGTTTTATCTTTGCAAAAATAATTGATACTTGAAAAAAAAAAAAGATAAAAATCATTTAAAAATAAATTAATCTCACCCTTTTTTGAACCAACTTGAAATCAAGAGACTAATATTATGGGGTGAGAACTTAGGGGTGATAGTCGGTTCGGATCAAAACCGACTGGTTAGTTAGCCGCCACCGATATATGGCCAAACTCCCAATCGACATCGACGGTTAACCAACACCGGAATCGCAAGCATCACTGCGATAAGTCGGCAGACCGTGAACCCACAAAAAATGAATAGAAGTGTGGGGATTGTGGAACCCACAAAATACTGAACTACCCTCAAATACTAAGCATACCCTCATGCGACAAATTTTTTTTTTTCTCGAAATATATTGAAAATGAATGTACTTTTTTTTCTGCGATCTCGTTTTATCTTTGCAAAAATAATTGATACTTGAAAAAAAAAAGATAAAAATCATTTAAAAATAAATTAATCTCACCCTTTTTTGAACCAACTTGAAATCAAGAGACTAATATTATGGGGTGAGAACTTAGGGGTGATAGTCGGTTCGGATCAAAACCGACTGGTTAGTTAGCCGCCACCGATATATGGCCAAACTCCCAACCGACATCGACACCGATACACATTGTCGGTTAACCAACACCGAAATCGCAAGCATCAGTGCGATAAGTCGGCAGATCGTGAATTTTCCAAACACTTTAGGGGTCGTTTGGATTGAGTATTTGACAAACTTGTTGTTTGGGGTCAATTACCACACAAATACCACATAATATAAAACCTGTTATTTGGTATGTGATATTTGTTCTCAAACTTGTTATTTGGCAAATACCTGCCCCTCCCAACTATTTGGCAAACAACACTTTTTGTGTTATTTGGTCTGAAACCTGTTATTTGGGGTCAAATAACACAAAATCTGTTATTTGACCCCAAATAACACCCCCAAATACTCAATCCAAACGACCCCTTAATAATTTTTGTAGAACACTTGCAACGACCTTTGTACTTTCAAAGATGCCTTATAATGAAATGAAACTAGAGAAGACTGAATGGATTCCAACAAAAAAGTCACAGAAGTATATCTTAAACCATCGTCAAGGAATAAAACCATAACCATACGAACCAACAGATTAAACGTCTTACCAGAACAAAGACTACAAAACATAACAAGCAGTTCTCAGAATTATCTAAATACCAGCAATCTCCGAAAAGACAAATCCCAAGGATGCAACAAAAAAGATGAGATTAGGCCTTGTCTGCCTTGGAAGCAGTAGCAGCAGCCTGACCCCTGAGACGACCAGTTCTCCTGGCAGCGATAAGACCAACCTTCTGCCCAGGTGGAGCGTCCCTCCTGACCGTACTGGCATGACCGATATGTTGATGGTTACCACCACCATGAGGATGCTCGACTGGATTCATAGCCACACCACGCACCTTAGGCCAGCAGTTCCTCTTCACTCTGTACTTGTGATAAGCATTACCAGCCTTGAGCATAGGTTTCTCAGTCCTTCCACCTCCAGCAACTTGCCCAATCATGGCACGGCAACCACTGGGAACGATTTTCTTAGCACCAGATGGAAGCTTGACCCTGAAGGAAACATAATCAATCATTTCAGAGAACATATTGATAGGCTTCTTCTTTAAAAAGACATCATCGATGCACAAACACATTTCAAAGTTCTAGACTTTGAGTTTCACAGCATTTGGACACAAATTCAAAGTACATTAGATCAATAACAAAACAAATTCCTAACCATAGCCACAACTGATTGTCCGATTATACATATTTTAAAAACTTGACAACTGGGTAATATCACGAGAACAGATTACTACATGGCCAAATGCATAAACATCTGGCAAATTTGAGAGTCGAAACAAGCATCGTTGAGGAATTGGACATTAAAATCTAACGAACCCACAACCAATTCGAACAAAACGAAATCTAACCAGATAAAAGCGTGCAAATCCTTATCAGTCAAGAACAAAACCAAGACTTCATCAAAGTTCAAAGAGGGTACATAAGTATCGAGATACTACCATAAACCCCATCTAGCAAAACCCTAACATATGTATCCTATTCAATAATATTTAGCTAAAGGACTCTCAAGGAAAGGCGAACAATGATTAGAGGTATCATACCTAGTGGTGTCATTATCAGGGTTGTGGCTGATAACGATAGCATAATCGCCGGAGCACCTAGCGAAGACTCCACGATCACCAACGTGGTGCTCGACGTTGCAAACGACTGCTCCCTCGGGGATAGATCTGAGAGGCAATACGTTTCCGACCATTAGGTTGGCCTTCTTACCGCAGTACACGAACTGTCCCGTGTACATCCCTTCGGCGGCGACGAACAGCTCCTTCTGCTTCTGGTAGCGGAAAGGATGGCGGAAGGTCACCCTAGCGAGCGGCGCACCCCTGCCGGGATCGTGAAGGACCTCCGTCACGACGCCCTTAAGGTAGCCATTCCTCTCGCCGAAGTCGAGCGAGCGGAAGCGGGCCGGTCCCTTGCGGTGGTGAGTGTGGGACTTGAAGACGGAGCCGGCACCCTTACGCTGAGCACGGATGACTCGTCCCATTGCTCCTCTGGTTTGTTTCTGAAGCAGCGGCGACTCAAGGAGGAGTATAAAAAATGGCGGATTAGGGTTATAGATGCTTATATATAGTCAGACAGAAAAACCCTAGTAGCTGGGGAAGGCCAAATGTAGCTGGGCCATATTAGCCGGCCCAATGAGGCCACAGGCAAGCCCAATTGAAGAAAAATCAAGGCCCAGTGGCAGTTTGCCCAATACGAGGAAGCGACCATAGATGCTGGATTCCGGACTGTTGACGTGTCAATTGAGCTCGGGAGGAGGGTTTATTTGGCGAGTTGAAACCAGGGGAAGAAGATTCGCATCGAAAGAGGAAGAAGAGATCGAAACCGATGGCGTCCGGGAATCAGGTGAGGGCTTCCCACATACTGATAAAGCACGTGGGCTCCCGACGGAAAGCTTCGTGGAAGGATCCGGAAGGCCGCGTTATCATGAACACCACTAAAGAGAGCGCCATCGCTAAGCTCGTGCAGTTCCGGGAGGACATCCTCTCTGGAAAGGCCAAGTTCGAGGACATCGCCTCTCGCCACTCCGATTGCAGCTCAGCCAAGCGCGGCGGCGATCTAGGTCAGTAATTCCCCCTGCTTTCAACATGGTTCTTTACTGTTTACTGATGGCCTGAATTAGTTTTTAGTGACACAGTTTTGATGCGCATCACGTTTTTGTCCATTGGGATCTCGGCCCCTTGACTAGGTTTTATGCGTGGATGCTGATACTTTGAGCTTGCGTCATTGAATTGGCATCAGTTGCACCTTAGTGAACCCTAATTTCCTTTCCTTGTCCATTCTCATGGTTTAGACTCGGTTTTCCTAGTGAAAATAAACGCTGTCCATAAAATCGTTGAGGATTTGGATTTCACCTGAAAGGAAATTAAGCGAATTGATTGTTCGGTATAACCAGAACCAAGGTCATGAACTTCTTAATTTTGTTATGGCAGCATCATTTGACAGTAGTGTCAAGAAACATTCACGATGTGCTATCTGCTTTCAGGCCTGAACTATTAGGGCAAAAGTTCTACTTAGCTGCATTTACCCGAGGCAAATATATCCTGGGCATGTGGAAACAGTCTAGTTGTTTGTCTATAGCTTTCCTGTGCAACTGGTCCGAATATTTTAAGGTTTAGGACCTGCATGTGTAGGTTTCTCTTTGTAAGAGACAGTAGGGTGCAGTTCAATTTTGTGGTCATGCAATGGTGCTGTGAAACAAACAGGACACCTTCCGAATTCTACATGTCGACTGCCCTGTCAATTTCGTTTGTAGATTCGTTTGCAATCGTCTAATAGATTCGTATGCCAAAATTACGGGTGCAGGTCCATTTGGGCGTGGACAGATGCAAAAGCCATTTGAGGATGCAACATTTGCCCTCAAGGTTGGTGACATAAGTGACATAGTGGATACGGACAGTGGTGTTCACATCATCCTCAGAACTGCTTAGGCTGCCAAGATGATGATGAAACTCTGATCTACTTCCTGGTTTTGCTTTGGCTTATGGATCTTTGCTCTCATTTTTTGGTTTTCGTTGTCCCCCCCTGGAAGTGATTAAGTGGTTAATTCGATTATTGGGCAGTACTTACTGGTCCATATCGTGTTTCTTTTCCTGCCCTTTATTAATATGGCATTTCGCGGTTGCTTGCAACAGCTGTTGTTAAGATGAACAGAGATGTGGGTATGGTTTGGGATTGATTGCAGTGCATCATAATTCCACTATTTTACATTTTGACTGCTAGTATGGAATTCAATGCCCAATTATGATCCAGATGCATAAGTGTTTTCCGGTGGTTGGCGCTCGCGTTAAGCATTTGCACAATGCTCTAAACCAAACTGAAAAGTCTTTCTTTTTTGTTTGGCCTTACCTCCAATGGATGCAGGATCGTCTGGTCTTTGCTTGCTGGCTTGCTGCATCAACAATTCAACATCACTGTTAATATTTTTTATTACTTGCCTTAATATATTATTATTACTAGTTTTTTGCCGGTGCTTCGCAGCGGTAAGAAATTAATTTCATGTCTTAATCATTACAAAAGACATACACCAAGTATTTGTTTAAATGATATATAAAAAATAACTATCTCTCCACAAGCTTTATATACTGTATTAGCAATTGCGTAACAAGTTAATAAAATTATTACATTTGATTAAACTATTATGCAAAAACCACCGACCATACACAACCACGAATAATAAAGGGTTTATGGTAAATTTTGGAGTTATATTACATAACTTTTGTAAAATAGTGTTACACAAATCTTTTGTAATTTGTGGTTTAATAGTAAAGTCATGTTAAGAAAAGTATCAAATTTGATTAAATTGTTATGAAAAAACAAATTACCCTACAGAACCTTAGTATAATGCAAATAATAACTGAAATTATTATGTAAAAATTAATTTACCCTACATAACCCTAGTGTTATGAAAATAATAAATAGATAATTATGAATTTGGGAAATTTGTAATTACATAATAGTTATAGAATAGTGTTACACAAATGTTTCATATTATATGATCTAATGGAGAATAATTTATGACCGAATAATAAAGAAATTATTGTAAATTTGGGAGCTATATAACATAAATTTTATAGAATATTTACACAAATCTTTTATATTGTGTGGTCTAATAATGAAGTCATGCTAAGAAAAGAACCAAATTTGATTAAATTGTTATGGTAAAAAAAACTATCCTACAGTAATGCAAATAATAAATCGAATTGTTATGTTAAAAATAATGTGCCCTATGTAACCTTAGCCTATGTTTGGCCCAGTTTTTAGAAGTGTTTTTCGGTTTCAAAAGCTGAATCAGGGCCAAACACCTCTAAAAGTTCGGCTTATGAAAAGCTGAAAAACGCATTTGTATAAAATAAAAGCAGAAGATTCGATTTGGAGCTTCTGCGAAAAGCTGTTTTGAAAATACAAGATTATCCTTACCATATTTTAATTTTATTTCAGAAAATATAATTTTCTTTCATTTATATCATTTTAAAAATAAAATAAATTATAGAATCATATTATTTAATATAAAAGAAGTCTAACAAGATCCATTTTGACTACATTTTATTGTTTATAATTATTATTCATAGTATATATTATAAGTCCTTTATAGTAAGTTTACATAACCTCTCATACTAAAAAGCACTTTTAATAGTTTTTCAGCCAAACACTCAACTGTTTTTTTTTTAAGTACTTCTTTAAAAGCTCAAGCCAGAAGCTGCTTCTGCAAAAGCTACAGCAGGACCAAACTGAGCTTTAGTATAATGCAAATAATAAAGAGATAATTATGAATTTGGGAGCTTTGTAATTACATTGTAGAATAGTGTTACACGAATGTTTCATAATATGTGATCTAATGAAGAATAGTTTATGACGGGTCCCTTGTTGAGTTGTTGTTATGCCTGTGCTTTTAATCAAATAATTTGTAATTATCAGTCGAATATGGAGGTACTTATTAGGGGTGGGCAACGGGACGAGATTGGGTATCCGTCCCGTTTGAAACGGGTACCCAATCCCATTTGGAGAGGAAACGCCATCCCATTCCCAAACCCGTACGGGTTAACGGGTACCCATTACCCGTACGGGACGGATAACGGATACCCGCCGGTACCCGTTATTATTTTAAAGAAAGAAAATTTAGCCACAATAAATAAGCTAAGCGGCCATAGATGTGTATGATAATTAGCCGAAAAACAGAATAATTTTACTCAACGAAGCAAATTAACTTAAGTACACCAAAGCCAACTCCAAAGCAGAATTCTCGGCACCATGACCATGAATTCCAGGAACTAATAAATTACACTCACCTGCACAGCCGCTTTCATAGCTCTCTGCTAACCAAATAACCCTACACTACTAAGGCCCAACAAGATGATGGAGTTTTTTCATTATGCTACTGGGTTGGTGAAGAAGCAACCTAGAAGATGGGTTGGGTTAATCTTTCAATATAATCATCCATCTTCTCATTTCACTTCATCCATGCTTGAGCCATTTCTAAAGGAAAAGGTTCATATGCAACTGTGTTTTATTAATTTATTACACGTGAATAGATCATCGAAGGAAGAATATGTATTATTACTTTAAAAAAGACGAACGGGTAGTACGGGTACCCTTCATACCCAAACGGGTATGAACGGGTAACCCGCGGGTACCCATTGTAGAATTTCTTGATCCCAAATCCCATCCCGTAAAAAAAATTACGGGTATTTGGGTACCTGTAACCCTCAAAAAACCGGGAAGGGGTATGGGTATACCCAAATACCTGTTTCCCGTTGCCCACCCCTAGTACTTATGGCGGAACGGGTAAATCTGTGTTGTGTCTTCTAGGCCTGAGCATATTTTTCATAGTTGATGCTCCGCTAGGGGAGCCTAATAATAAAAGGTAGGTCTAATGATAAAATCAATATATGAAAATGAGCAATTCTACTATGCGTTAAAGCAATGTAGTCAAAATCGTGTTTTAAAATTTAAAAATTTACAATTATACGTTTCTAGGTCACTAAAACGCTTCTACACAAAATCTCAGTTTTAATAACTTATGTAGTTAAAACGCCGCTTTCAAACTTAAAAACTTACGATTTTACGCTTCTAGATCACCAAAACGTTTACATGGATTTAAAGTACAACTTTAAGTTGTACCATAAGAGACTTTGACATTTATGTTATTGTACAAATTCAACATAAATGTACAACTTTATTTTGTACCATAAAGATATTTTACAAAAGAGTATAGGTATAACCCTAAGTTGTACCATAACGTTAAAGCTACGACTTCAAGTTGTATTAAAAATGATTCAGGCCTAATTGTACATTTTGCCCCCGTTTTTCTTAGAGGTTTGTGGCAAATCCACTCCTAAAAGGTTGGTTTTATGCTAGTTTCCCGTGTGTTAGTGTGTTTCAGGATTTAACAGGTGAAACCAGCCTCGGAGTCGAAAGATTGGCGAAACGGATCGAAAACCGGGAGAAGAGGTGTAAAAAGGCCAGTTCACGGCTAACCAAGGAAGTTCACGCTCTTGCATAACCGTGAAGAAGAGTCATGGACCGTGAATCGCGAGGCGTCAAGAGCCAAAGTGGAGATTACTGACGCAAGGGGAGTTCACAGTCACTAAGACCGTGAACAAGGGCAGTTGATCGTGAACAGAAGTGAATGATGCAACGCGTTTTGGTGCACGCCTGAAGTTCACACACACGTTTCATGGTTCACGACAGTGAACTCAGTCCGTGAACTCAGGTCGTCTCGGGTTTAAATGATGAGCTAAACGGAGGAGAGAGGGGAGAGACCATTGGTGTGGGAGAAGCCTTCTTCAACATTCTAGTGAGAGAAACACGAACCAAAGAAAGAAGAAGGTTAGGGTTTAGCTTCAAGGCAGATTTTGGAAAGATTTCCTCCAAGGAAATCTCAACTCAAGGCCCCAGAAGACCGGGAGCATCCTCCAAGATGGTTTCCATCTCTTTCCCTTTTGTTTTCCCACTTCTAGCATGGAGTAGACCTCCTTTCACTTGGGTGTTGTGAAACCCTAACTCTACCATGTAGTTTTCTTTTATGTGTATTGGATGATTGTCATTGGGTATTATTCAATTCAATGATTGAGGCATTATTTATCATGATTGTTCATGCTTGTGCTTAGCAACTTAGGCTCTGTTCACTTCCATTTTCGTTTCCTGTTTTCTGTTTTTATGTCATAAATTTGACAACCGAAACGAGAAAACTTGTTTACTTTTCATTCCGTTTTCTATTCGTTTCCAACTATGAAAACAGAAAGTGACAACTTCCTGCTGTTTTCGGAAACGACAAAATGTTGTTTTCACCTATTTTCAACATCTATTTTCTCAAAAACAGGAAACAGAAATGAAAGTAAACAGGCTCTTAGGGGTTGTGCATGTTTTGTGCTTAGCACCCTTAAGTTTGTGCATGTAGGTGCTAGCAATCTAATTAGCCACCTTAGCCTAGCTTAGAGAGGAAAATCCCCCTTCCAAGGGAGACTCATTCGAGTTGGTTTTCCTCCCGCTTTCTAAGCCACCTAAACTAGGTTAAGTTAGGGAAACCCTCAATATTGAGTTAAGCAAGTCGGTTAATCACGATTAAGTGGTCCGACCTTAGAGTTGAGTGAGGGAGTAAGTCAACCACCGATTGTCTAAACCGAGAAGGTCAAGTGACACGACCTTTCATACTTACCTCGGTTTAGCAATTGAGATTGTGGTCTCTGACCACATATGCATCCCTCTGTTGTTCGCAATTATTGTGCCCAAAGCAATCGTTCCAATCCACATATCATGGTAGCAGTTAGGGGGAAGCGACACCCGAGTGATCTTTCCACCAAAGGGTTATCAAAACCATTTACCTTTGCTTCCTTTCATTTCAATTAGAAAACCTTTAAACCAAAGCTTTGTTGCTAGATAATGATTTCAAGAACCGAAGTAGGGGTAGACGGACCGGCCCGAGTCGATATCTAAATACTTGCCCTATGCTGCACCCAACTAGAGTTTAAAATCTTGGAGTCTAGTTGGGGTTTTATTGTGGTGTAGTTTCGGGTGAGTAAAAAAACTAAAGCATCAATGTTTTAAAGCATTGTAAAATTCCTCTAAGAAAATATAGCATTTGATTAAACTATCGTATAAAGAGCTTATTGTAAAATTTGGTATAGGGGATAAATGTTTCTTGTGAACAGTGTCGGTAACTTAAAAAACACTATTTGCCCTATAATTTTGTAAGAAACAGTGCGTTCCTTGTTATTATGCTTGCGTCTTTAATTAATTAAGCATTTGATTACACTATCGTATAAAGAGCTTATTGTAAAATTGGGTATAGGGGATAAATGTCCTTTGTGAATAGTGCCGGTAACTTAAAAAAAATACTATGTGCCTTATAATTTCGTAAGCAACAGTGCGTTCCTTTTTATTATGCTTGCGTCTTTAATTAATTAATTGCAAGTTACAAACATATAATTTTTCTATACAAAAGTACCACTCTATTATCAA